TGCTAAATTATATTATTTCTTTAAAGCTTCTAAAGCTTTTTTTACAATATTATCTACACAAAAATGTAAATTTCTATAACATATTACTAACATAATCAGAAACTTCTCATAACATAATATAAGATAGCTTTCTATTACTTTTTGTTTGCCTCTTAACTATCTCTGCTCAGAAGATATGCTAGTTGTACTATAATATCTATATTTATCAGCAGTTGAATCCTTCATAAAATACTCTTCTATACCACAGCTTTAGAACGTCGACTTTTTTTTTTCTATAATAATTGTTAATTATCTGTAGTTACAAAAAATATTTTAAATTTTGAAAAATTCTTTATTATTTAAAAAAAAAAATATTAATAAAATGCTGTGAACGAAGTTAGGAGCAGTTATTTATTACAAGATCAGTATTCTAATCATGATATAACTCAAATAAAGTTCTAATTTTGCATATACAAGTAGTTAAAGAAATAAAATATTGAAATAATATTTGGGTAAGTATAAGATTATGTCATAAAGTATATAAAGAAAGTGATTTTGGAATCTGTTAGATGCCTTTTTTCCTTGCTGCAAGCTCGATGTAAGTTTAGCTCATCGTTAATATTATCATATATTTAAATAATAAGAAAATAAATAAATAATATAGTTAATAATTAATAAAAAATGATAGTAGAATCTAAGAGACAAGTTCTAGTTTGGTAGCTATAGCGAATATTTTGAGAAACGAGGTTGAAAAAAGTCAGAAACAAAATTTGAGAAATAGTTTGAACAGGTTGATGATTGATATGTTAAAAGTGGTATGTAGAGAAGAGAGTTTGTTTAAAAAGGGAATTAAAAAAGATTTAGTTGAGAAGTTAGCGAATAGAGTACTTAGTAAAGCTAAAGAAAAAGACAAAGTAATGGATAATACTCAGGTTGAAAATATAGGGAAGATGATAATAGGTTTTGATGATGAGAAAGGTTTACAAGATAATAATTTTAAGAACAGACCTTTTGGTAATACTGATGGAATTGGGTATAGGGGTTCTGATAGAGTTGGGTTCAGAAGTTATGAAGGTTATATAGATTTCGACTAGCAATATATAGTCCTCGAATGATCAATAGAAAAAATAATACAAGTTATGATAGAAAAAGTAGTCATAGAGATTAAGAAAAGTATTTTGTCAATATATAATACAGAGGAAAATAAGTACTAGACTAAGGAAAAAATAAATAAGGCAAGAGATCAGTTTGAATACGATGAATAGTGCAAGGTTAGCAAATATTTAGATAATACTATTTTGAGTAATAATTAGAATATAATATTAAAAGCATAGGAAGTAGTAGTTACAAAAGCATTTATGTTAAGAATAGCAAATCAAAAAAGATAGAATATTGCAGCAAAAATCAGAGAGTTATCAACGGATGATCTTATGAAAGTTTTTTTTCATGATAAGTTAGCAAGTGCAAGACAAACAGCAAAAAGTAAAAGGCAAAGGTTAGATAAACCTATAATATCAGAATTAGTATTTAGTAGCTTACCTGTAGATGCAAGAGGTTCAACACTAAGTCAAAGGATACAATAGCCATTAGTTTAACAACCCCTCTAACCTTTGCAACTTTATTATCCTTTTCAACTTCTTTAGCTAGATTTTAATTTAGAAGCAAGATCATTTTTTAATAATATAGCTTTTTAGGCTTTGTACCAAATACAGAACCTGTAACTATATAATAATCAGAGAGACTCCTAAGACAGGCCATGGGCTCTATAGCAAGGTTAGAGGTCATATAATCTGAGCAGATCCCCAAGGCAAAACAGAAATACAAGTATAGTATGTTTCATTTATGAAAAAAGAAGCTATATCATCTAGGACTGCTTTTAAAAGAAAATGAACTAGCCTTTTCATAGATCTAGTTCTAGAGTTAAAGGAAATGAAAGGAGTTAACTATATTCAGAGTATAGAAAGTATACTGCGAAAAGAAATGAGGCAGAGGAAGAAAAGAATAGTAAGGAGAGTGCATCTAGAGTCATCAGTAAAGTATTAGAGGAAGAAGATAAGATCTGTAGCAGTAGTAATAATGTAGTTGAAAAACAGAGTTCTACTTTTTGTCAAAGGAGTAAAGTCATTAGCTCAAATAAAGGTACTAAGACAATTCAATTTAAACAGAGATAAGTTGGAGTGAGTTCAGTTAGAGCTAAAGAGATTGAGAGAGTTAGATGTAGTAAAACTAGTTCATGTAGAGGAGAGAAGACTAGACGTCTTATTAGAGATAAGTCTAGTTTTTCTTGTACTAAAGGTAAGGCTGAAAAAATATCAGTTAGTAATAGATTTAAGGAGATTGAATTAAGTGTTGTCTAAAAAAACTTTCTAATTCGAAGGATTCAGTAGCTTCTTAAAGATGATTGAGAAAGGCTAATGGGTAATTGTATTCAATTTGCAGGAAGAATATCATTACATCTTGATAGATGAATGAGCTTAACATTTCTAGGTTTTCAAATTGCAGAAGAGTAGTTCCATTATACTGTTCTCCTGTTTGGCTTATACCAGGCCCCTTGGATATTCTTAAAGCTAATGAGAGCCTTAATTGAAGCATAGAGGTCATAGGGCATCTTCTGCAAAACTATATAGACAATTTCTGAATTGCATATACATTAAGGAAAAAACTGTTGCAGATAAGAGATCATGTTATAGAGATCAATCTAGAAAGATGTGAGTTGGTAAGAGCATTAGACAAAAGGAATTGGAAATCATCAAAAAGAGTAAAGATTTATAGACTTTTGGTAGATACAGAGAAAGGTTTAGTAGAGATTCCAGAAAACAAGCTCTTGAAAGTCTAGAAAGAATTAGTAAGTCTGAAGAGACTTCAGTTAGTTTTAGCAAGAAAGTTAGCAGCAATAGCTAGAAAGATTCAAAGTTTATTATAGGCATTTCTACTAGCATAGGTAAAGTGCCTAGAACTGTATTCAATAATAGATATAGCAAATTGGAACTGTTAAGAATAGAACAAAAAGGTACACCTGACTATACAAGTGATAGAAGATATAAAATAGTTAAAAGAAAATTTAGTGAGATAAAACAGAAAACTAATATAGAAACTAGCTCAGATAAAAGTAGTCTTTGTAGATATTTCAACAATAGGTTGGTATAGGGTTTACCTAGACTACAAGGTAGTAGAAAATTAGCCAAAACTATTCAAATCAACAGAAATAACATAATTAGAAAGTCTGGCTGCATTAAGAGCTCTAGAGTTCTTTGTAATATGATTAAGATACTCGTGGATAACTATTTATATAGACAACAAAGTAGCTTTGAGAACAATTATACAGAGAGGTCCATACTTATAGCAAAAGAATATAGTGAAGTTTCTTTAGAAGTTTTGTGTAGAGAATGATGTGTGGGTGCATGAAATTAGATAGATTCTAGATTTGGAGAATCTAGTAAACTTTCTCATGAGAGTTTGAGATATAGGAAATTAGCAGTTAGATGACTAGATTTTTAGAGGTCTAGAAGTAAAATAGAGAGTAGTAACAATAGACTGTTTTGTAAACTACCTAAACATAAAGAAAAGACATTTCAACAGTTACTATTTTTGCTCAAATTTGAAAGCTATTAACTATTTTACCAGAATTAGTTAGAAGAGATAAATTATGTATGCTCACCTTTTGGGCTAATATACTAAGTCTTAATACACAGTTGGGAGTACAAAGCTTAGCTATTGTTAATTCTTCTGGAATGGACATTAGCATTTTAGTAGCTAATGTTTTTAGAGGCACTGAAGTAAGTAGTAGAGTTATCATTAGCAGTAGAGATTATCATTTTAGGACTATCAGAACAGAAAGAACTATGCAAAAACCCAACATAGAAGTTGCTAGCTACGAAGGTAAACTGGTTCAAAAATAGTTAAGCAGAATAGATAATTTAGCATTTAGGTTAATAAACAAGGACTATAAGTTGAGACTGACTAAAGCACAGAAGATATTCGAGAGTTTTTGTAGCTGAATAGAAGAAGATGTATGCTCAGCAGATATTGAAACTATGAGAATGTTTTTAGATTAGTTGGAAAAGGTAAGAAAGGTAACTTATTTACAAAATTGTCTAGAAGCAATAACAAAACTCTATAGGGAAAAAGATTTTGAAAGCCTAGTAGAGGACTTTAGGATAAAGGAAGTAGTTAGAAGAATTAGACTAGTAAGTACTCAAGACTGTCAAGTAGATTGGCATAAGATCTGATCCTGCTAAAAGTATTGAAGTACTATTATGATAACTTATCAGAAAAAGTAGACCTAGTGATATAGTATCAGAACTTAGTACTGGTCACTCTGGAATTTAGAATGATGCACAGATCTAGAGAGCTATGCAAATTAAAATTTAATAAGTTAGAAAAAAGAAAAGACTTAGTTTGAATTAAGATTAAAAAGGCAAAGAATGATCTATTTGCAAATGGCAAGTTTGTGCTAATAGAGTCGATAAAGAGTAGATTTTGCTTAGTATATTTATTGAATAATATCTAAGTATAAGGCTAAGAACTAAGGATAATGAATCTTTGTTTCTGTCGAGTAGGCAAAGAGAAATGTTAGTTTCAGCAGTCTTATCAGTAATTAAAAGAATGATAGAATATGTAAGAATCAAAAGTCATTTTATAGCATATAGTTTATGTATCAGAAATACAACTGTAGCAATGAATAGTAGAATGTTTTTAACCAGATTAAAACTATTGGAGGTTAGAACTCATAAGCAGTTATTTTGTACCTGAGAGTAGTAGAGATGGTATGGAGAAGAGCATCTATAAAAATAGAGTTTAAAATTCAAGCTTGTTTTTGTACCTTGCTTTTATTATTATTATTCTTGTTTTCTTGTTTCTATTCCTTGTTATATTTATACTATGTATAAGTAATAGGTATATGTTTTTACTGAATTTATCAAATTTGCTAGCTAGATAACATATGTAGAGGAACAAAAAAAAAAAGAGAGAAAAAGAAGAAAGAAAATGCAATTTGATCCTCTTAATGATCTCATTTGTATCTTTTATAGTATTGTTTATTAGTTTTGTCATTAAGTGACAAATGAAATGCTATGAACAAAATTACAGAGCAGTTATTTGTTATGAGATCAATACTCTAATCACTGATATAACTTGAATGAAGTTCTAATTTTGCGTATACAAGTAGTTAGAGAAATAAAATAACAAGATAACATTTAGATAAGTATGAGGTTATATCATAAAGTATATAAAGAAAGTAATTTTGGAATCTATTAGATATCTTTTTTATTTGCTATAAGCTTGATACAAGTTTAGCTTATTGTTAATCCCCTCTACTTGCTCAAAAAGATAGGTTTAGGCAGATAAGAACATGGTAGCCTAGCTAGACAAGTTGGATACAAATGATAGTGAGATAGCTTAGATGGACAATTTGGATATTATATAGTTAGAATAGGAAGTAAGCAATAAGAGAACAACTACAAAGAAAATATTAGAATAGGAACGATTCTTAAAAACAGCTAGTGACTATATAATGCAGCGAGGTAATATCCCATTCATGTTTTTTGTAGTATTGTTTGTTAGTTTTGTGATCAAGTAACAAATTTATTTATTATTAAGAATAAGTAGTCAAAATATATCATTATAAAAGTATCATTATATTTATTATAGTAAAAATATCATTATATTTATTAAAATTGTTATTATATTTATTCTGAATTAGTGATCATATCATAGTAAAAATTTTTATCATTGGGGTTTGTATTCATGTTTTTTGAAATATGAAGTATGTTTGGGATTTGAGATTATATTTAGAATTTAAAATTTAGGATTGTATTTAGGATTTGAAATTATATTTAGGTTTCAGCAAAAGCTCAAATTCTAACTAAAAACATCTATAAGTCCTAATTAGTGCTAAAAGTATTTAGGTCTCATCACTAGTCATTGCTTTTTTTATACTGAACTATTATTAAATTTTAAATTTTAAGCTCATTATATCTAGAGTTGATTAGGATTTATTTTATTTAGAAAAACTATTTAATAGATATTTCAATTCACAGAAAATTATATTTAAATTTTTGAGTGAAGATAATATAACACTCATATAAAATTTGATAAATTTTTTTATTTTAATTTTATAGATATAGAAATAAAATTTGGTTAGATAGTTATTGAGAAATTTTCATTCAAAACTTAAGAAAATTTATTCTATCTGTAAAAGAAGTTATGCTTAAATTTCTTTAAAAATTTGAATCATTTAAATAAAAATAAAAATATTTGATTTTAGATTATTTTTTTATATTACATCTAATCTTGAAATTTGATTAGCTAGTGAAACTGATCTTGAAATTTGAATTAATTTTTTTGGTAATTTTATTCTGGTTGCTTTTCTAATCTGAAATTTTGGGGACAAGTTTACATTATTCCTAGGATATTAATTAATAATTAGTCGAGTGACTAACTATCTGATTTGATAAGATTTTAATTTTGATATAATTAGTATATAAATAGTATTTATTGTATACTATACAGTATTATATTTTGTGTATTTAGTTCATATTTTATGGAAACTTAAAGGCAAAGACTGTTCTTATCAAGATTCTGAATACAATAAGAAAGACTTTAATATTTAAATATAATGCACAAATAGAGATGATAATAAAAAAAAAAAAAATTTGATTTAATCAAAAATTTTTCTTTAAAAATAATGTAACTTAAACTGATAAACCTTTTAAAATATTTTCAATTATTTTCTAATGAAAGTATTATTTAACAAAGATTATATTAGCATTAAAGATAAAGAAAAATATCAATATACATTAGTAATAGGCGCAAGGAGCCTTTTGTTGATTATTAGAGTATGAATTTGCCTAGGCAAACTACTCTTTTAGGAGAAAAATTACTTTTGCGGCTGATCGCACTTGGGCACTTAGGGAAGCCGAGTGAGTCCAGAATTAAAATTAGAGGGCAGTCTAGTAGCTAGATTAATTTAGATTATTTTACTGTAATAGCATTATATATGCTTTCTCTTAATAAATGAAGGGCAAGATCGCCTAAGTTAAAAAAAAAAAAATATACATTAGTAATAATAATCTTTATTATTAAAGTTTGCTAATATTATCATTATTATTATCTGTTATTAATAAAAGCTATTGAAGTATATATATTTTTAAAAAAAGGATTTTGTAATCTATCGCTGTAGCGATACATCGCTAGTTCCCATTACGTGATCACTATTGTATAGTATTATTAAAATTTAAAAAAAGAGCTTGTATCATTTTATAATTTCTCACTATAGCGATTTATCACTAATATAATAAATGATATACAGAAGCTCAAGTAACATGTGACTGTACTAATAAAATCTGTAAATATATTAGTTGGCGACACAATGCTATAGTGACAAAAAAAGATACCCTACGATGCAATTATAATACAAAAATTTTGGCTACATATAAGGTTAGCTGAAATAGGGCTACAGAATATATGTATGTACGCAATTTTAAATAGTTTCCAAATTCAGTATAAAATAGGATCAAATGAACTTTTATTATCATGATTACTACGTATAAAGAAATTCATGTTCATTTATTTGCATATCAAAAAAGTATCAATACAAGCATTAAAGCAAAATTATTGTTCATAATACATTATAATTTTTGCAAATACATTAAATCTAATTTTTCATTTGTAATTTACACCTATTATTAGATATAACAAAATTCATATTCTAGTATTTTAATCTGAAAATAACTCAAGTATATTGCTATAACAATTTAATACAATAGTCATATAGTATCGATCGAACCTCCAAGAAAACACAATAATTATAGTTAGTAGATTTTTAATATCCTTATAACAGATTCATAATAGAACCATATTATATAACTACTGTATCAAACTTGTGCCATAGTAATAGGCTCGAGTTATTTCTAGATCAAATATAAATATTTATATAAGTATAGTATAAATAAGAAATAATTAGCAAAAACAATGAATAATAAGCTTACCTTGTAATTTTTTGATAATGGTCTGTATTACCACATTTTTTACATCGATGTTGATATTTAATTTTAGATCCATAACCTTCATGCGAAGATTTAAATCTTTTAGTACCAAGTAGTCATCTTTTTTCATGATATTTTTTTGAATTTTTTAGTTGAGGTGTTATAAAATTTTTATCATTAGTATCATCAGCTTGTAAACTTTCACCTGAATCTGACTGCTCACTAATATTTTTAACAAATTCTTGAAGTAAATTAGTAAGCTGCTGTGATTTTAAATTATCTTGTAATGCCTTGTTAAGAGCTTTCTTATATATACTATGCAATTTTCTATAAATAGCCTTTTGTTCAAGAATGGTTAAATTTTTCTTATGAAAATCTTTTCCACTCTGATCAAAAATACACAAATATGTCACTGCACTACTTGAATCTTGTGTTGTATTTTGATCATCATGTTCAAATTTATCTGCTTGCAGAAATAATTCCTCTGAGCTGTCTTTGTTCTCATTATTATACTATCGAGTTAGAATTAACCTAATATGGAAGTATGCATTTTTTGTAGCTAACATAACCTGAAAAAAATGTCTGCATACAATTCCATATTGAATAATAGAAAGGCAAGAGCAGAGATAGCTCCGATTTTGTAACAAAATAGCATGATATTTGATCTGTAATAAATTTTCAATGCTTACAGACCAAATTTTTTTAACATTATGTGCACTAACAAATTTGATCATTCTTTTCAATGTTGCTTGTAGGACATCAACAGATAGTCTATTCTTAGATACAATTTTGTTCTACATATTGTTAATTAATTTATTAGCTTGATAACAAAACTTATAAGTTATATAGTTAAATATTCATTAATAATACCCGATATCATACGTATTATTTTTATAAGTTAAAAAAACTGGGTACTATTAAGAAAATATATTATATAAAAATTAAAAATATATAATAAATTAATAAAATTATAATATAGATCTTCTTTAAGAACTAGACGTTTAGATAGAAATATTCTTGTTCTTATTACAGGATATTTTTAAACGCTCAATAGAAAGTAGTCAACTATAATTTAAATTCATACGAATTCATACAAAAAAGTACTTAAGGATTTTTTTGTAAAATTGGCTAATAATAAAATTTTGAATTTTTAAGAATAGCTTATAACTATAGTTAGGTGAAAGTATCCAAAGTCCTATTATACCTAGTAATGTAACTATTTTGATTTTGGATTTAGTGAAAATCTCCTAATTTATTGAACACATCACTCACTATTCATTCGTTTCTACAATTTTATTGCTACTTAACAAATTATCTACTATTATCAGAAGATGCTTAAAGCTAGATATATCACAAAATTAAACTAAAAATTATTAATATTAAAGTCAGAGTTAACTTAGAGCTATATAGGTTTGCTTTATTAAGCAAAAATCGTGATCTTATAGGCAACAAAAAATCTTGTGATATGTTTAGCTTTAACTTCAATAACTAAATAATTGCTTAGGTCTATATGTAG